AATCATTTTCAGACCCAGAACCTGTCCCATTTTCTGCAGGAGTACCGATCTCCTTGTCAGACCGCACCTCGGGTACCACATTCTGAGCGACTGACGATGCCTCGCTGGGGATTACATCACTGTCACTAGCAGCAATGAAGCTTGCCAACCCCTCCTCAACAACTGCTACTGCTTTCTCCACGCCTATGTTCTTCGAACGGGATGCAGAACGGTTGGGCACAGATTTGGCTGCTGGCGCGTCCTCTTCCCCGCTGCTATCGGATATCCCGTACCCTTCTGGAATTAACCGCGGTTGCCCGTCTGCCGAAGTCAAGCCCGTTCTCCATGTCGTCCCTTCCCCTTCCGTTCGCTCTTCCCCATCCGCTCCAACAAGTTGTGCATCTGCACTGTGATCTTCATAGTCTTCTCTTTCCTCCGCTTCCCCGCTCTGCGACTGCAAAACCACTGTCTCCATTCTGCTCACAAGATTGCTGTTCGTCTCGAGAGTTATCGGTGACGCTCCTCTTGCACTCGGTTCCCGAAGCCCTCGGTTTGCCCCCCGAGCTCCTGGAACGAGCTCCCTTTGACAAGATTCATCCGCACTTGGGCTTATAGTTTCAAGCATCCCCCATTCCAGCCACAGAGGCCCATAACTAGGGCACGCCTCAACACCCTCCTTGAAGATCCGGCGAGCATTCTCTATCATCCCCTCTCTCTTCTCCATCAATCCCCATGCCAGGTATAAAAACGAACACCGTGGGCAAAACTCCAATGCCCTGTTAAACACTGCCCGTGCCGTGTCGGCATCCCCCTGGGATGTCTCCCACAACCCCCACAAAAGCCACGTCCTCGAATCGGTGGAGTCCGTTTTAGCACTTTGTCGAAACAACTCGGAGGCTTCCGCAGCAGCACCGTGCTGCTTCTCGAACAACGCCCATGCTCTCAAAAGCTTCGCATCATGCTGATCGGTAATCGATCATTCAGCATCACAGACAGTCAGCCAGTGAAAGAAAATCACCACACGTCAGCGAATTCGCTTGTTGCTGGATTTGCCAGGTGCACATGAAGCAATTTTTAAATGCTTTTTTTTAAGCATAACGTTCGCAGCCACAACAATCCGAACACGGAGCATGGAACTTAACTTCACGATAAACAGCAAACACCATCTCGCACATGCACGCACGAGTAGAAGAGCCCTCACACACCCTCCACATTGCTGTCATAATATATTTAAAAAATAAAAAATGAGAACTTTCAGGCAATCAGAGTTCAGATGCTGGCGAAAACAACACTCTGTACCCATCCACAATGATGACTAGATCCAGAGGCCACAGCAACCTGCTGGAGAGGTGCTGAGCTGCACACCATTGCACTCCTCATCGACAGAGAGATCTGTTTTCGGGCCTCGCCACACACGAAACGAAACGAAACGAAAACGACACGAGTGCATTTGCCCACGAAAGGTGGCAGTCACTATTTATAGCAAACCGATGAACCTGTCCATTTTCTGCACTCGTTTCGTTTTTCGTTCTGTGTGCCGTGCGGCAACGCCCTTCCTTGCCACCGCTCTAGGGTTTTTTCTTTTCCAGCTGTCTCAAGGTCACTGGCGTGCATGGCCCCGGAGATAACAGCAGAGATTGTATGTACAGGACACCATTGTTGCTTTCCATTCATTGCTGTCACGCCGCCAAGTGTGTTAGTGGCCTCGATTTGAGAGCTGATTAATGGAAGGCCCATTTTTCGCCGCATCACCACAAGTAATGTTGTTGAAAATTTCGCGAACAAACACGCCGAAACCGAATATATACCCTAAAAAAAAGCACATACATATCACACGAAAACAAAAACAGGAAAAAAACTGAGTATGGATCCGGGCCGCCCGGCCGACCGGCGCCCGCCTGGGGGAGGTCCCGGGCGGCCTGGTCGGGCGGGCGGCCCGGTTGGGGGCTGGGCACCCCCAGCACACCTTGTTGGCGGGGGGTTTTCGACCCCACATCGGGTGGTTTTGGCCTCCCCGACGCCTACCGGGTCCGACCACGCCAAGAAAACGGCGCGTCGGGCCTGTGAGGCCTGTTTTTTTTTTTTTGAATTTGGGACGGCCCTCTGGCCGTCGATCATCCATGATCGATGGCCAGAGGGCCGTTCTTTTTTGAAGGGAAACGGAGGCCCCGTTTGAACTAGCGACTGGCTGGGGCGGCCTGCATTGGCTGTCCAAACGGGGCCTCGATAGCTGCTCCAGCCGCCTGCGTTCGTGCTGCTGCCCCTCGTCGAAGTAGCTGCCCTCGTCGCCATCCCCTGGGAGCTTCACTCGCCCGTTGTCGTCGTGTCGCCCGTCGCCCGTCGCCAGCGTCGTCGATCGAGGTGCTCCTGCCTGCCGACATCCCCTGCCGCCCGTCGATGTGGAGTGCCGGTCTTCTTCTTCTTCTTCTTCTCCTTCCCTCCTCCTCCTCCTCTCATTCTTCTGCTTCTTCTTCTCTCGTCCTCCTCCTCCCCCTCTCTTCTTCTTCTTCTTCTTCTTCTTCTTCTTCTTCTTCTTCTTGTACTTCTTCTGCTTTTCTTCTTCCACGACTTCTTCACTCCTCCTCCTCCTCCCCCTCTCATCTTCTTCTTCTTCTTCTTCTTCATCTCTCGTCGTCGTCCTCCCCCTCATCTTTTTCTTCTTATTCTTCTCTCCTCCTCCTCCTCTTCCGACTATCTTCTTTTTCTTCTTTTTTTTTACATTCGTTAGCGATAGGTC